TCGACTGAAAGTCAGGGGTTTGACCATCCAACCTCCCTAATAATAAGAGTAGTATGTCGCTGCAGTACCGGAGGCTGCAGTTTCAAGACTGCAATCCTAGGACCGGAACTGCATTTCTAGGACGCTTGTTTACTTTGATACTGCAAGCTAGCTGGCTGGCTAGCTATGTTACTCTTGACAGCCCCCCTGAAGCCAGGTATCCTTACCACAGCCATCACCAAGTGTGTGCCTAAACTTAAGTTACAGATTAACCTCCTTTGCGTTGCTGTGCATTACCACCAACACTCCACTAGATGGTGCTGTCGCAAAAGAACTATGGTCCTGAAACTGCAGCCTCCGGCAATAGTATGAAGCTTGTGACAGCGCCATCTAGTGGAGTGGTGGTGGTAATACACAGCAACACGAAGGAGGTTAACCCTGTGTGCTAGCACGTCGGGCTGATGTGCGCAGCTGTAGGGTTAACTGGTCGACATGCATATAATCAATAACTTAGGTTAGGATTGCGGTCCTGAAACTGCAGCTACATAATACTGAATTATAAACATCACCCAATGTCCTTCTTTGCTACTGTTGTATGGCCACTAGAGGGCGCAGCCACAACAAACACAAATATGGGTCGTAATAATGTGGCTGCACAAAAGACCTATATGGGAGTATTTCTGTTGAGAACTGTCTCCTAAGAGTTGTTATGTGTAGTATTTATATCTCGCCAAGATAACACAACACAATTTTGTGTAAAAAATTTATAAATAGTTCTTTGAACAAAAGAATATCTGATTATGTCTGCTGATTGGTTTTGTGGTGGATTTGTGGAGCGTTGCCAGTGGGAGAGTTGCAAAGCGCCCTCTGGTGGACAAACTATAAAAGGACAACACTTATAACATGATTGAACGATCTCTATTTCTTTTTTAGCTGTCATTTATCGGCTGTTATAAACACCAATAACGCTATATCTGCAGTCAGATCATATCGGACGATAATATTGGCACTTCACTCTAATCACATGAAAAGATACATTTTTTTGTTTTGATATCACAAGTCATGAAAACATAACCAAAATACTGACACAATATTAAAAATGCCTTCTTTTTGCGTCTTTGTTTTGATGTTATATAGTTCCAAAACAAATAGCAACAAAGACCTTAAATACTTTGGGGTTTGATGAAAACATGCATAATCTAGCATAATTTACACTTGAAATCTATTATCTTGTGCTATTTCCATGACAAAGTCATCGAAAATTGATGCCTATAGAGGTAAAATAGAAAACTTTATCATCAAGAGCAAAGAAAAAACACAGTAACTAGTGACATCAGAGATGCAAGATAATTCTGAGTTTTGCCTTGTTCTAACCAGAGCATTTATTCAGCACAGGCGTCAGCACAACATAAAGTATAGGACAACAAGCAGCTCCGAAAAAGACCAATCATTTCCAACAGAAGCCCTCTGAGATTCATCTGACCTTCCCATGATGAGCTAACACAATCCTCCAAACAGCAGCGCAGTTCTAAAGTCAGAATTTTCCTATAACACACAAACAAACAACGTCAGAGTGAAGCAGCAGGTACAGCGCGGAGGATACCTTTGCGCTCGGAGCGTTTCTTTCTCCTCCTCTTGAACCTGCGGCGGATCAGGCAGCAGTAGGCGGCCGTGGTGTGAGAGCTGTCCAGCAGCAGAGCCATGGCTCGGGCTCACAGACGCTGATATGTCCCCTCAGCTACCCTGCAGGCTCTGATGTGTTCCCCACTCTCAGCCTAACGCTAAGCGTAGACACAGAGTATGCCTAAACAACTTTGGACAGAGAAGGGGAGGGAGGGGGAGGGACAGCCAGTCTACCATGAAGCAGGCACAGAGCTGCTGGCACACTGGCTCGCTGTGGTAAATGGCTGTCAGATAAATGGGCTGGGATGTCTCCTGCCCCCCCTACCCTACTCTCCTCTCTCTCTCTCTATCTGTACCCTGGGCTATGATGAACTTGGCAAGCAACTGCTCTTGAAAAAAATACCAAAAACCCCTTTTGAATATGCATTCGTTGCTACATTGTACAAGTATTTAGAGTAGCTGCAAAGGGGAAAACAGCAAAATCATTAAAGGAAACATTACTTAGTAATTCTGGATAAAGCAACACATAGTACTTTTACAGATGTTTGGCAACATATTCAGTGAACCAAAGATGTTAAGGTTCTGCTCTAATATCAAACAATCTCACATGGCTTCATGATCATAGTTTCTCATTCAATAAAAACAATCCCTATAAGGCTGTGTTCAGATAGACATCTGCTATTGTAGATGCAAAAAATGCACGGCAAGAGATGAACCAAGCTCAACTTGTTTGGACCAAGCAAACAAGCACATGTTGCTAGGAATAACTTTGTAACGTAAAAGGCGTGATACTACTGTTGATGGTAGATAAAATAACTGTTGCTGTTTATTGTTGTTTATTCAGTGTTTTTAATGTTTTAATGACTGGGTCTGTCACTTTTGGAAAGTACTACCCATCTATTAAGGGTCTTCCTGCGGTGGAAATGTCTTACGTGACATGTAAATGGGGTTGTTGTAGTGACAAACAAACTACCAATTATTACTCTGAAGATCTTTGTAGTTTTGTTTTTATTGTTTTGGTTTTACAGCCCTCAGCGCTGCCACCAGCCCCTCAGCAACAGGCAGGAGTTTACAGTGAAAAAGCTCTAAACACTACCTGCTCATCACCAAACAGAAATGACTGATGCATCATTTAATGAAGCGTTCAGTGTTAAAAATCCTGATATTTTTCTCAGGAGTTTGACACGTTTGCAATAAAAAAAGCAACCCCCTTCAACCCTCTCTGATGGAGCATCGCAACTGTTTAATACTGTATATGCATAGTGTATGGTTTATAAGATGACATGCGCTTCTGGTAAAAGCCAAGTTAAATTAAACCACGTGTCCTTGCGAGATCACTGGAGGAAAACATGCATCAATAATATTTTAATGAGGAGTACTATTCAGCCTGCGAAAAGAGTTGTCATCTGTGTCTCTAGAAGAGCTTTCTCAAGTCTGAGAAAAGAATTTTAGCTTGAGCTTGGGGATTACAAACGTAGAAAAGAAAACCTTTGTTACAAGCTGGTCTTACTGAGTGGATGCAGCCTTTTTTTCTCACTTGGTGACACCTAGTGGCAGTGTCAGAAACTACCATTATACCCCAAGGGGTACTTTGACAAGCAGATTACACCTGTTCTTCATCACCGCTGCAACAGTTTTGTGTTTTCCTTTACATTGTATATTAGTCTATAATGTATGAAGACAGGCTTTATTAAATAGAAAGGATTTGTAAAATAATGCATGCAGTGGGTGTTCAAGGAAAACTGTAAAGTGATGCCTCGGCAGTTTGAAAGTCAGCGCTGCCCTCTTCTGGGCAACAGTGAAACCATCAACTACTAAACTCTCCACAGGTTACATACAAATATGCTTCTTTAAATAGCCTTCCCTCAATGCACTGAGTGTCAGTTACACCTGCACGGCCTCATTTCTGCACTTGTGGAAGGGAACTCAATGAAGTCTTTCAGGTGAAAATTAAGACAGATGTCGAGCTTTCTCAAAGGCTCACCCTCCAAGGAGCTACAGTACATTTGAATTAGATGAAATCCTGCCTAATATTACTCTTTGGTTCAGAGAGACCTTCAATGCACTCCCCTTTCATTCGCCATTTGAATAGCAATGCACCAGGTGCACGCTTTAAAAAGGGAAAGGGAGATGATTGGTTTAATTCATGTTACATTTACTTTACTTTACACCCAGATTATGCACCGTTTAACAAGCAAAAGTGGAATTGGACGTGGGGTGCACACTATAGATAATTTAAACAGGGCCCTATATATTTACTGTGTGTCAGCAAGTAATGCAACATTACTGCAACGTCTTTCTTTTGGCTAGAAATGTATTTTAAGCAAGAGTTTGAACAGTGAAGCCAACCAAAGTCTGCATCGAGGGTTCCATTCCAGGCCAAAATACCTTTTGTTGGAGCAGCCGGATGCAGCAAGCCTTGCAGCTACCAGAACTACAGAGTTCCTGCATTGCTCTATGTTATTAAACTGCGTCTTATGCTGCGCAATCATGGGCAGTGGACCCTGGTGCCAGCAGGAAGTGGCCATGTAGTAGTACTTCACAGGACCAAAATTCACTGCTCTCCATTCAAACCTGCCTATGTACATACCTGTGTTTAACCCCTACAGGTGTTTTCACTAGTTTGCCACAGGGGGGTGCTGTTGTGGCCAGTTTGGAGAGGAGTTGCTAAAGTTGAACTGCTGCATATGTGGAGTTTTATATGTAAATTCAGAAAAAAGCTAATAAATAAAGCTTAATACCAGCCAATGCTTAAAAGAGGCATTCAAACACTTTTACACATAGTCAAAAGTAGTACTAGTTTGCCTGTGAAAAAAGTAATATAATATCTTCTGTGGCTTTGGGGGCAATAACCCTGATGATGTCATAGTGATGTCATCAGCCTTATCTCAGCTTGGAGCTTCAACAAACTTATAGCACCTCTAAAATGCACTTCCTGTGCTCTTCTTCTTCTTCTTTTATCTCCTTACAGTTCACTGGTATCGACTGCACTATTCATTGACTCTTACCTCTTTCCCTTGGTATTTACCCCAGTGACGCCCAATAGCTCTAACTCGTATTTATTGTTACTTGTAGATCTCTTACTTTACTGATGCTTTGTTGATGCTTGTGCGTTGTTTTTTCAAATGTAAGTGACTTTGGATAAAAGTGTCTTGATGGCATGAAGTTTGAAACACATGGACATTTACAAGCAGAGGATCTAAGCAAAATAAGCATGATGGGAAATGTAGGATCCAGTGTTTGTGGAGTCACACTCTGGTCTAAAGATCGGAATATCTCAGCCTCTGCTGCTTTAATTTTGATCACCCCTAACTCTACGGGGATGCGATACCTCTTTCATATTCTGTTTAAACATAAACATACAGTCACAGGGAAAAAGACATGCAGAGTCAGTCTACCTGGTTTATGTCTTCTTCTTCGGGGTCTGGAAGGACTTCACCAATACTGTGCTCTGAAATAAAGAAAACAGGGATTTTACTTTTATGATGTAATTCCAGTTCACAGACTCAATATTAACACGCATTAGTAGAGACATGATAAAAGATAAGAATAGCAGGTCAAAAGGCGAAGTATCTGGGCAGGCCTTCCTGCACAAATGATGATTTTAAAGTACGTCTACATGCTGAGTTTACAGTGAGCGGCCTGTAGGTGGCGCAGCTGCACTTTACATCCCCACACTGGCAGGATCAGATAGAACTACACGTGCTTTTCCTTCTTCCTACACTGCTCCCTCTCCTCCCACTCTTCTGTGCACATTAAAATTCATCTGAGCTGAAGGAGCTGGTTGTTATGAAGAGGCACATTCCAATATTTTCAGCATACAAGAGGAAGCAACGCAGGCAGTCCTTGATCTCATGTCCCACAGTCAGGGATAATATTCAAGATTACAATTACACGATACTCAGAGGAGCTTTCTGTGTCAGTCTCACAGAGACACAGCTCTGAAACCTTCAGGCTGTCACAACATTTCATTATGTTAGTTCTGTTTAATTAAGCTAAAGAAAAGAATTTCAGACGTCTATTAGGGACTGAAATACAATATTCCAGCTCACAAATGAAGACACCAAAAATCACACAAGGGTAAAAACCTTCCAGATTCTAAGGATATTCTTGGAGCCATGTCGATTTTGGAACAGGCCAAAACCCAATATCATCATCATTGTCTGTGGGTTTGTTTGACTTCCGATGCCAGATGGACAGATTCAGGCGTTGGGAACCTTGACAGTAACAACTCATGATATGAAGACATTGGCTGTTGAGATTTTCATAATAAAAGTAGGCGCTTCCCTCCACTTAGAAAGATAGGGTCACCTGACAGGCAAAACCCAGGGCATTTCGACTAGCCTCTCTGGACTACGGTGGCTAGACGGACCCGGTTCAGAGAGATTTTAGTAAGAAGAAAAGTTAGGGAGACAGTCTAAATTATGCTCTTGCAAACAGCCAATGAGGTTTCTCCGCAGGGTGTCTGGTCTCACACTGTTTGAGTGAAGATCTTTGGGCCGCTGCACTGCAGTAACCAACCTATGTACTATTTTATTAACGGCCACAATCATAAAATGTGTGTTTGTATTCTGTCAACAACCTTGTTTGTGTAAAAAGCCAAAAGGTATCATTTACACTTTATATTTCTATTTTGCACACGCATGTTGGACGGAATCTGTATTTTGTTGTGGCTTTCTTGTTCTCTGTGTGTGTATATTGTTCATTAAAGATCAAATCAATTACCTCATGCCGAACACGGCACTCATTTTTGCTGGGATTGTTCATTCTTCTTCAAACAAAAATGTTTTTACTAGATTCATCTAATGTGTTGCATAAAAAAGCAAAGTTAGCAGCTTAAATTTCAAGACATTAAAATAAAATATTTCCTAGTGCGTTATTAAAAAAGTACCTTTACTTGAACGGTGAACAACTCCGTTAGCAGCAGAGGAAGAAAAATTGTCATTTAAGTTATTAAATAGTGGCCACGATTACTGTGTTAAATAGCAAAAATGGCAGCCAACAGTCTTTTACCCTTTTTTATACAAAATATTTATTTACTTAAATATGTTTTCCCCGTGGTCATGTATTTTAGTAGTTTGTATTAATTTATGTTTTAGCTTTCTTTCCTTTTTTTTCTTTTCTGTGTAGGTTTGTTTTCTTGTAACCTTTATTTGGCTGGCTTTCTCATATATATATATATATATATATATATATATATATATATATTCAATTATAAAGCAAATGCTGGTTATGCACTTGTGTGTAAAACAGTTGTGGAAAGTAACTAAAAATTATTACAAAAGTACTGTTCTTATGTACAAATTAGAGGTATTGTACTTGAGTATTTTCTTTTCATGCCACTTTCTACTTCTTCTCCGCTTAATCTCAGAGGGAGATATTGTGCGTTTTACTTCATTACATTTATCTGACAGCTTCAGCTACTAGTTACATTACAAAGTAAGACTTTAACACACAAGAGTTTTAAAAATATGACATTTTGTTATAAATTAAACAGTTTGCACAAGTACAGCTAGTACATTAGTTGTTTTTATAATTATAATTGGCAACTATGTTGATCATTTAAGAAATTTCTCATGTAAAAACATTTCATGGTTCACTAATCAATCATTTAATGGAGAAAATTATCACCTGATTGAATCCATAATGAAAACACCCATTAATTGCAGGTTCATACAAAATAGTCCAACCTCAAACAACTACAACAGTAAAATCCTGCTTTTACATTCAGTAATAACATATAATAGTACAGACACAGGGTACTCTTACATTACTTTAAGTACTTTTTCCAGAATATATCATTTTAAATGCAGTACTTTTACTTGTCACACAGTATTTTTACAGTGAGGTATTAGTACTAGTTTTACTTAAATAAAATAATCTAAATACTTCATCCACTGCTGGATCAATCATAACAAAATCTACTTTTATTGTGGTGTTACTGAGGAACCGGCCGACATTAGGAAACATTAGTTTCATTTCCACTTTGGTTAAATGCTAATGCTTGTACCGCACTCCATCCGTAATACCCGCACAAATTAAACAAAGAATGTGCGCTGCTTAGACTACGGACGGACAAACACACACAATCGCTGCCCTCTCCTCCAACTCTAACAGAGCCCAGCAGCGAGCTTCAGCAGAGCACTTCAGCAGCACTTTAATCAGGTTTGCCCAAGTCACAGAAAATAATCACAGTCAGGGCTGCGGTAAAAACAAGCCTCTGATTTCTGTGATTTTAATCAAAGAAAAAGGAGTGTGTAGAGTGAGCAGATACCTGTTTGGACAAGGACATGAAAAACAGCAGCTGGAGCCAAGGTCACGCTCAATGACAGCGTAAACACAGGCTTCACTGTGAGCTCATCTTACTGTCGATTCCGCAACTTCTTCCATTTCCGTTTACATTCAATTATTGTTCACTGCTTTTGGTCATTATGATTTTGTAAAGTAAAAATGTCACTCTTTTTAAGATTAAAAACAGTATTATTAAAATTCTTATGGAGGTTTGGTCAAAACACTGTGAATTTCCATGAACGATATCATGCTCAAACACATGGAGAGCTTTTGGCTGGAAGTGTCTCCGTAGATATTTTAGTCCCATCTGTCAGGCTCTTCTGGCTGCTGGAGAAATTGTGAATCTCAGGAAGCCAATCATTACAACTTGCTTTGGTCCTATGCGAAGGTTCATAGCTTCTGCCCAAATGAATTTTCTGCATTCAGAACCTACAAATTTTAAATTAAATTAAATTAAAAATACTTATTTGGAATATTAAGCACAGCAGCTTGAAAAGCAGTCAAAGAAATGGCTTAACCCTGAACCCCCCAGCTGCACAGGACTGGTATTATTTATGAAATCTTTGTAATGCAAATAATTACTTTCTCTTTGAGACTCCAGGTTACTAAATTTGGAGAAATTTGGCATATATTTTCCTGAAATTCCCTTCTTTTGAGTAAATTTTTTTAATTAATTTTCTTTTTATTGACTTTATTTCAATTATTTTTTTCTCTTCCTATAAAGGCCTTTTTTTATATAGGCTATGTACTTCATGCGGAGAAACACACCACGTTCTGTTTCTGTTCTACTATTATGTTGTTTTAAAAAAAACTAAAAAACCCTGAGAGTATGAATCACTCTGTAAAGGTTTCAACCCAAATATGATTGTGATATAAAGTGTTAAACGAAGGAAAGCTCTCTGGACCACAGCTAAACTTGAAGTCGAGCTAAAAATGCCTCTGCAGGCAAGTCTTTGAACTCGATGTGTCCTGAGTGTCAATCACAGTGCTCTATTTCCAAAACATTTTTAACAATATCACAGTCCCGCCGGCATCTTGTGACTATATATCAAACATCTTTTACAAGGGCAGGAGTAAAAACAAACAAAGACAGCAGTTTGTTAGCACTGGTCATTTTGTTTGTCTGATTACATATATTGTAGCCAGCTGGGAGTAACAAAGGTCTAGAAGTGTTTGGCTGACTTATTTAAACTCCTGATGGAAACACATCAGAGCAGAGTGCAGCTGCTGCAGTATTTATATACCTACTGAACAATTCGGACAGCGGGATTGGACGTGATCTTTGAGATCAGTCCATTGGGTTACGCTAGAGGCAGCATCTTCTATTAAAGATAACATATTCTCCAAACTTTGCACGTAAAAGATGGACGGTGAAAACGTGATTCAGCACCAGGAGCTGTCCACAGTAGGACCTTTTGAAATAAACAAAACACAGAAAGTATGAATGAGTATCTTTTTCACTGAATTAGAGGACACATGTGGCTTTTGTAAAGTATTTCAATACTCACAAGTCTTTTGTCAAAATGAGGGACAGAGTCCAGTGTCAGTCCCTTAAAACAGTTAGAAAGTTACAGCAGTTTTAATATGAAATTCCCTTTTTGTGGTTCCAAGTTTCCTTGCTGAGATGCGGCAGGTTTGTTGTCTGGACACAACACTGGAAATGAACACACACACACACACACAACGGCCACAAACAGTTTTCCCTAACCACACTGTGAAGATAAATGTAAAGGCTGGCTGGATTACGTTCAGAGAGAACAGTGAGACTGACGTTCACATCCTGATTACCATCGGTGGTTAGATTTACTTTGGCTGCAGTTAGGGAAAGACGGAGGTTTCAGTTCAGTGTAAATAAACACGTCGTGCGTCAGGCTTCAAGTCACTGCAGACTTCTTCTGTATTAAACCAGACCATGATCTTTCACTAACCTTAATAGCCTAGTGCTGCCAGTGCCTAAACAAGACCATAACTTACGAGAAGATATTATATTAGCAGATAAGATACTCTGATGGAAAACAAAAGAAATATGATTGCGAGAAACAATATATTTCCTCCTGTTGCTGATTGAAACATGATCCGATTGACACTTCCTTCAAAACCTATTTGATGTTAGTTACAAAAAAAGTACTGATTGGTCTAAAAAAAAAAATCGACTTATTG